ATATTTCTATTATCTTGATTATGATAAGGTCCACAGTGCATTCTTTAAGTTCTGATTAACAGCATGTTTTAATACACCTAGCAAATTAAAATGCAGAAAATGCTCATGGTGAATTAATCATGTCCACTGGTATGCAAATTTCACCTCTTGATATTGGGAAAGGGAGAAGACAGTGAATTATAGCTGTTGTGGTTTATGATGCTGATGATGGTTATGACATTATTAGGTGCCTTCACAGACATACTTGAAGTCCAGGTTGAGAGGACTTGGCAAATGTGATTCTTCAGTGAGAAAAAAACATCATGAGCTATCTGCCTGTATGTTGGAAATAATGAAACTCAAATTGACTAGAGATAGTCCAAGAGTTCATAAGTTATAAGCAACAAATGCAGCCACATTAAATATAATCCTGGACTATTCTTAAAACATAGCTTTCCAAAGCTGTGCAAAACCACTTTCAAAGACATGAAACTCTGTTGTTGAATTAACTGACAGTGCAAGTAAAGAGATGTCTTGTTTCAGTGGGGTTTTCTGCTTGATGCCTTTGGGGAAATCTACTGAAACAAGTTCACGAAGGACCCTTAGCCCACAGGTGTCCTGAAACAGGATTTGTGTTGCACAAAACCATTCACTGATCCAGGCTTCTCTTCCTGCAACCACATGTGCTCTTTCTAGATAGGCATCTATAAGAACCTCAAGAAATCTTCGAATTAGGCAGATAGGGCTTCCATGCTTCAAGTTTGTTCAATTGAGCTCCATTCTCTTACTCTCACTACAGCAAATTATGAGCACATGTGCACAAATGCTTAACAAAGTATTTCCTGGTTCAACATTACCTGAGAGCCATATCCCAAAGGAGCAAAGCTCTTTTGTGAAATGCAATTGCAGTAATGGATTAGGTTGATGTTTGGCAAATGTGATCTTCAACATGTGCATCACTGTAGAAAGCTGATTAACTCGTAGTGACAAGAGGTTTTCTTGACATTGCTAGCTCTGCTATCTTTCTGTTTATAGTGCTAGTCAGATAACTTATTTCCTCAAAAAATAAAATACTAAAAAATCACTCATTGAAAGTAAAAAAACTAAACATCACCCAAAGGGAAACTTGCCAATCATGGCTTCATTTACAATAAATACTCATGTCAGCTGGACATGAATTCCCCATTAAAAACAGTAATTTGGTGAAGTGAACAGGATTCCAGGGCTGATAGGAATTGCAGGCATCCTGCTTGGTTACAGCTGTAAAAAAGCTCACTTTCAGTGCCTCTTATCTGGACAGTGCAGCTGTCAGAGGCATTTGTGCCTTCTGGACTCAGAGATATAAAGTTGCATAAATAACTCCAGCCTCAGTGCTCCAAGGTAGAATAAGGAGATTACTGTTTGTTTTGTTTGTTTTTTTTTTTTTTGTTTTTGTTTTTTTTTTTTTAGAGGGAAACTGACTGACATTTAGGAGAAAATTGATTTTTTTCTCCCCTGTCAGGGTTAAGAACCAGCCAGCAACCAAGCCCCAGCACAGAAACTCATTCACTCCTCATCCAGCAGGATCAGGGAGAGAACTGGAATGGTGAAAGAGAGAAAACTTGTGAGTTGAGATAAAGAAAGTTTAATAGGGAAAGCTAAAGCCATGTGCACAAGCAAAGTAAAGCAAGGAATTAATTCACTGCTTCCCATGGCAGGCAGGTGTTCAGCCATCTCCAGGAGAGCAGGGCCTCATCATATGTAACAGTGACTTGGGAAGACAATCATCATTACTCCAAATTTCCCCCCAGTCTCCTTCTTCCTCTCACTTTATAAACTGACCATGATGTCACATGGTTTGGAGTATTTGTTTGGGTCACCTGTCCCAGCTGCATCTCCCCCCAACCTCTCACATGTCCCCAGGTCCCTCATCAGTGTGGCAATGTGAAAAGCAAAGAAAGGCCCTGGCTCTGTGTAATCCCTGCTCAGCAATTAAAAAAAAAAAAAAAACAAAACCAAACAACAACAACAAAAAACAACCCTCTCTGTATTATCAACCCTGTGTTCAGAACAATTCCAAAACATTTCCTAGTAGCAGACACTGTGAAGAAAATTAACTCTACACCAGCCAAAACCAGCATACTCTTGAAATTTAAGAGAAAATAAAAGAACAAGAGAAACTCCATAACTGTGTTAATTATGTTGATTCAAGCACTTTTTCAAACATGATTTTTACTTGTGCTATTCAGGTACCTGAATAATTCCCCTTCAGGGCAATTATTTTGCTTGATTGCCTACAGAAGGAGATCTGTTTCATGCTACAGAATAGCAGTGTATATCCAATATTTTGAGATATAAAAGCTAGGAGTTGCACATCAGGCTAACATTCTCCTGCCCTCATGTCCCAGAGAATCTGAGAGCACAGCAGTCTGTACAAGGTGACAGTAATCTCACTGGCACCAAAAGAGCAAGAGCAAAGCAAAGGAAGTGTTAATCCAAGTGCTCTGGATTTTCCTTCATCACAAAACAAGGTAGAGCCCAAAGCTTTACCCAAATTGTGGCTTCTCAGTGAGTTTCCATTGGTTAGCATCTTCTGGGCTTAAGTGACAAAGTTCCACTCTCAAAATACATTCACATCAGGCAGACTGTATCTACTCATTACCCTGTGCCACATTTCCCATTTGGCAACTGTATACATACATCCTTCTGTCCTTATCTGTGGTCTCTGCTCATAAAATGCATGGTGAAGGACATCTAAAATTAACAATGTGTGACTAGTGAGCTGCAGATAATCATGCTGTCTGGGGAAAATATAAGAAATAATACAGATTATTTCAGCCAAATATGGTTCTTAATTATATTTATAATTTGACCACTTCATGCACATACAAAATACATCAAACTCATAATGATAAGAAGCAAACAATGGCCCCCAAATATACAAAGAAGCATTTTAAATAATTTTGTGCTAAATGCACATTTGTGCATATCCTTCCAAAATACACTGTCACGCTTTCTCTTCTTCCATAGATGTCAGAGCACTCTTTGACCAGACCTTGTAGTTCTGAATTCTCATAGGCATTGCAACCATGAAAGGAGCAAGGTGTAAGCTAAAAATTTAATTTTTAAAAGGCAAATAAAAAGGTAATGCAATTCTCATGTAAACACTAAAGAGATGGATAGGTAAAAACATACACTCTCATATTAAATCAAGAATCCTGATTTCCATATAAGATGATTTCCACCTGAAATCTCAATGAATGAGACAAAGTTATATCTGTTCCATGAGGCTGAGATGCTATAATTCCCTTCTAATAGTTAATTAATGATACATTTAGCACTAGATACTTGCAAATTAATCAAAAAATAAATAATAACTCCCATTGTTGTTTAAAATAATTTATCCATAATTCATCAGAAAATTATTTTAGTAGTGTTTTAGAAGTTTTCCACCAAGGGTGTCAGTGAGGTTTGTACAGGGCATTAAGTTCAGATCAGGGATGCTTGTTCTGTGTGTGTTCTCTGCCACAGCTTGCGGTGCTGGTGCTTTCTATACAGCTGTAAACAAACAGAGGATGATCTGTTTGTTTACAGCTGTAAACAGAGCTGTCCCAGAAACATGAGTTCATCCAGTCTCCTGTCTCAGACCAAATCTAGCAAGTACTAGATTTGAATTAACTCTGCAAGGACCAGCAGAGCATCCGGTTCCATCTCTTAGATATTGTAGCTAAACTAAGTGCAAACCCCCAGATACCCGATTCCCTTAACAGGCTGATGAAGATTTATCTGCTGCTGTACCCACACCAGGTGAATCCCTGTTTTCCTCACACTGGTTGCTGACAGTGTGCCATGTGCTCCTTCCAAGCACGGGGTCAGTCTCTGCTCCCAGAAGAGCACAGCAAAGCTCACTGGCCCTGTCAGCAGCTGTGAGCTCCTCTCACAAACAGCCTGCTTGGAAAACACTGGGTTAGCACTGATTGCTGCCTTCGGCAACACAGCAAGCCACAAACCTCTGCTACCCAGGGTGCTAATTCCCACTTGTCCAGGCCTAGAAGTTGAAACTTAACATGAAACTCTTTGTAGGTGATGAATCCCTTGTATATTTTCTTCATGGCATAAAAATTTGGATCAGCTTGGCTATTTCCCCTACTGGCATCATGTTCTTATTTTAGGAGTAAACTCATTTTTGACTAATTTGTGTTTACATTTAGCTTGCATTTATGCTTAACTTGTGTTTAATTTCCCTTTCTTATTTTAAATTTTTAATTAAAAAAAAAGTCCCCAATCCAATTCATGTTGTAATATTAAATTTCTCAGGTATTGACATACTAGGTTTTCTGCATTTTCTAGTTCTGGTTTCTTAAAGCAAGTTTTTCTTATATACATACACATATATATCTTTTCTTATATATGTACACATATATACTTTTTTAAAAAAAGTCAGTCTTGTAAGACCTGGAATGTAAATGACTTAGTTATTTTGATCTCCTTTTCTGGTATCACTCATAAGAGGAGCAAAGCAGCCCTTTTGAACAGAGACCACACATCAGAAAAAGGTTTATGTGGACCAGATCCTGAAACTACAGAAACACAGCTCCACAATGCTGAATTTTTTGGTTTTTTTTTTTTTTTTTCAATCTGTATTCTAACTTTTTTATAACTGCATTTTATCCCAAAAGCACACTAACAACGTAAAGCATCACTTATTTAAAATGCTGCCTTCCCTGTATAAATTACTTCAAACACTGCCTTCTAAATCTGTGGCTTTAACACATGGAGACTAAAAGTGTCTGCTAAAAGCAAACCAGCTGGGGATCTTGGTAATACTTCTTTGCTTATACATATTTCTTCAAAAAAGTAATTTAAATATCGTGTATCGCTTTCTTTAGCCACAAGAGGGCGATCCCTTAATTCCTGTCCGCTAAGGCAATGCACAGACACAAGATGGCTTGTTTTCTATCTAAGCCATTATTTCAGCTTTTTATGTAGATAAATTGATGAATTTAATTCTGTCTTTGTTCTCAGCATGCATGTGGCTTACATGAAATTACTAGGCAATATTATTTAGCTGTGGGAGCACACTGCGCTTCATAAATGGCTGATACTGAAAAAAAAAAAAGGTGGGAAGTAAATAGGATTTCCCTTCATTATCTTTAGAAGTAGCAGTACACTGTATTAACACAACTCGTTCTCAGTGATGAACTCAGACAGGTCACAATCAAAAGGAATAAGATCTTAAGACGTGCTGCTTTCAGAAGCATGAGAAATTTGTGAAACAAAGAAAAGATATCTCTTATACTTTTCATCCACTTGTGAATGTTTAGCTATTTGAATTTGTTAAATATGCCATCATGTGCAACAATATACAGCGCAAGCACAATCCACACAGGAAACTGATTCAAGCACTCAAAACCTGAAGATTGTCACATCCTCCCTAATGCAAAACTCTGATTGCATTTGCTTACTTAGAATCAGATAGTTGGGAAGATTTTGTTTAAAATGCTTCTAAACAGTCATCATGAGTGTACAATATAACTTACCATAGCATTTTTGTTTTCAGTCCCAATATTTTACATATATAAACCTGTGAAATTTACTCAAACCAAGACTGATTTCTCCCTCTTAAGTCCAAATAAAATTTTGCTCAGAAACAGTGGATGGATTTTGTCCATCAAGAGTCAGCTATGTTCCTGGGCAGCCGGTAATGCTCTGGCCTGATCCTTGCCTTCTTCTCCTGAGGGCTGGCATATTTCCACTTGGATGGAGACATTTTCAGCTTTTTTCTCTTCTTATCTGTACACCACACTTTTTCACAGTATTCTTCCACCCTCTGGAAGTTGCTGTAACCTATCAGTTGAAGAAATTCCTTATACCATGGCTTTGAAGCCTGAGGTATACTGCTCTGCATTGGGCATGGCATTTTGTGAGGGATCTCCTCCTCATAGTCTTTATTGAACATTTCATCTACACGTTCTTCCTCGACTATTTCCAGGGTGATTTTCCTGACAGTGTGAACAATGCTGTGTTCCACTGTCTGACAAAAATAAGTCCCTGCATCCAGTCGATGCAGCTTCAGGAATAAAAGGCCAAGGTCCATTTTTATTATTCTATCATCGGTCTTCACCTGAAAAAAACCCCATAAAATGCAGTTATAGAACACAGGCCTTTGCTATTACATTAAACCAATTCAATTATTTTTGAACTGTATTTTCATGACTGTAATATTAAATTTTGAGAGGAAGATTAGAGGTCTACAAATTTTTAATTCAGAGTGTTTTTGTAATATTAAATAAAAAATATTTACTTGAAGTAAACAAGAGATTGAGTTGTAAATGGAGAACAATCTAAAGAACCTGGGAAGCATGGAAGAACATACAGTGAAGCAGACAGATCCATGTTTTAATTGCAAAGGGAAATAAGTTAGAAATATTCAAATAATCTACAGGATGGAAGAAAAAAAGGGCATTTGCCAGCTGACCTTTGATAAGGATCCCTGTGAATTCTCCTATAGACTGGTATGCTTTTGAGGAGACATTCATAAAAGTATTTACATATCTAACTGCAGGACCATTGTGATCTTAAAGCCTCAGTTCTGAGTCTGCTGTTTGAGTTCCTCCTACAGTTCCTGAGGACTACAGTAATGTTCCTGAGACATTCGCAGATGTTGGCAAGCAGGGAGCACTGAGCTGTCTAATTCAGCATCAGGAGTGGCCAGGAAATGGTATCCTCAACTTTTCATTTAACAGTAAGGTGACGAATTTAAGCAGAGGTACTGAGTGATGAAGGGATCAAAAGCAGCCTGAAGAGAATGAACTCAGGACCTGGCAGCACTGAGGGAGGAGGAACTGGATGAGAGCTGGCCATGACCACTTGTAGAAAACCAACTGTATCCTGTGCTGTGCAACAAGAAGTGTGGCCAACTGGTCGAGGGAGGTGATTCTCTCCCTCCACTCTGCTCTGGTTAGCCCCCACCTGGAGTGCTGCATCCATCTCTGGGATCCTCAGAACAAGGCAGACATGGACCTGTTAGAGCGGGACTGGAGGAGGGTCACAAAAATGAAGAGAGGAATGGGGCACTTCTATGAAGAAAGAGAGAGCTGGCGTTGCTCAGCCTAGAGGAGAGGAGGTTCTAGAGCTTATTTTGACCTTTCAGTACTTAAAGGGGGCTTATAAGAAAGATGGGGATGTTTTTACCAGGCCCTATCTACACTATATCTACATATCTACACTGCAGTGATAGCTACACTGATGTGTACCAGAGAAGTATTGAGGAATATATATGATAGCACTTATGAACACTTTCATATGGTAAAATACATGTAAGAGAGGCAGAAAGTCCACCAACACTCATTTCCAAAAAATTCTGTAATAAATGGGTGAGGCAGCAAGAATGAATAGAAGTTAAACTAGACAAACACTGGAAAAAATACATACACATTTCTTCCCTGCAAAAACATACCAAGAGAAGTAATGGATTTTCCTTTGCTTTGAGATTTTAAATTAGCTTCACTCTATGTCTAACATCTGCATTCAAGATGATGAATGCAAACCTCAGATGAAATTCTCAGGTCTATTAGTTCAAGAGACCAGATGAACATAGTGATTTTCCCTGACACCCATGTACATTTCAGCAACTGGTGGCAGAAATCCAGTGAAGAGATAATGTTCCTAACAGGCTCTTCTATTGAAAAAAGTTAGTCTATAAAAATATTTACCTCTTCCTTCTTAGTTTCATGTGCCCTCTGGACAAACCAGATGACTTTTGCTTGTAAGGTCCGAGGGGTACACTCCAGAAGAGTGCTGTTGTACTCTATTCCATAAACAAATCGCTCCTCAGTCTTCTCCAGAACTTCACCTAGAAGGGAAATAAATGTTTCAGAAATGTCTTACTGCAAGTACTTGCTGCACTCCATGTTCAGGGTATTTTTACTTTTAGGAGTGAAACTTAATTCAGATCCAACCAGACAGTGACTGGAAAGTAATGTCTAAGGAAGATCTGACCTGCTAAATTAATTTTCCCACTATCCCAGGCTTTCACAGCATCTGACCAAATTGTGCTGTGACTCACCCAAGATTATAGAGAAACAGATCTCAGCCTTTCACAGTGCTAATTGCTTGTGCCTGGTTCTTATGAATAGTTAATTTCATTTTCACTCAGTGAAACAGGAGGATTCAAAACATGTTTAAATATAATAAAAAAATTCAATTTTTTTAGGGATAATTACAGCACATAACTGTTTGCAGAATGACACTATAAATACTCTAACCAATGTTATACATATCCAAGCTATACATCTATTAACTGAATGTACAGTTTGGGCCCAAGGGTGCTACTAAAAACAAGGTGAATGAATTAAATCAATATTTATTTCTGGTTTTCAATCCAACAAAACATCTGGAGGAGGATAAACTAGTTGTTACACTGGGCAAAACCAACTGCTTCATTAATGAAATAATTTTATTCCATAATAGTGAGGAAGATTCTTGAGCGCAAATAGCTTTATATCCTAAAAAAATACACTCTTTTATATAATTGCGATTTCTCTGTTGTATTTCAAACTTGTGGAGAATTAGCACTTAATATTGGAATATACTTTTCCAAAATGTACAATATCCTCCAATGGACTTCAATTTTAATAAAGATTTCTCTAGTAAAAAAAAATATATATATATGTAAATATTTAAAATAGTGTTTCTCTGGATATCATTCTGGAAGAAACTTTTATGTTTTATTTTTTTCTTCTATAAATGTATTGCATATTATCCTGCAAAACACCGAGCATTTCCATGCAATTGTTTTCTTTTTGGTTCTCTATTCCCAATACCCATGTTTGAAATCCTCACTTTCCAAGGTGTGGATAAGAGTACTCTATCATATTTTTTTAAAGAGAAAACTTGATCATAAATACATATTTTTATTCTGTAATGTCACTGCTCATGCCTGTTCTTAAATTTTAAGTGTCCTGACTATTTCATACATATTTCAGCAGCTCCATTGTTTCTTATCCCTGCCTCATCTTTCTGCTTTTTTTTTTTTTTTTTTTCCCTGTTGGGAGCCATTGGGATGCATTCTCCACATCTTTAGTCTGAATGTCAGTGCTGCAGCACCACATGAACATTTTGGGATGCACCTGACCTGCCATGAGACAGCCACCCTTAGACCTGGATGGCAGGGGCTCAGCCCCATGGCTCTTACAACATGACAGGAACATGCCAGTGAAAACCAGCAGGTGAGATCATGGTCTGGCTCGTGCTCTTGGCAAGCTCTGGGCTGGCTGTTCCAGGCCTTTACAAGCATTTGTACTTGAGTGAATAAATTACCAATGAACTGCTGGCCAAAGCACTGCTGCGCTGCGTTCCCGTGCCGAACGTCTTGTCTGCGGAAACGTCTGGAGGGAAAAAAGTGAAAATATTTGAGAGAACGTGTTTAGCTTACATGGCTCATGCCAAACTAGCCTTCGTTAAAAACTTAAGGAGTTAAACATTGATGGCTAACAATTTACCATTGTGAGAAGTGCTCATCTATAAATCAGTATTTTGTCTCTGCTCAACCTATTGGGAGTTATGTGTCTGAAAAAAGAAACATGCTTGTCTGGAGAAGAGGTACAATTATGTGGCCATTTTATATATAACTATACGAATGTTATAAATACGAAAAGAAGATCCTTTGAACTGACTGGGTAACATTCAGTCATAGGGACCTTTAGCTTGTCTTTGGGTTCTCTCTCTCTCTCTCTCCAAAAAGGAAGGAAATATTCCTTTTTTAATTCAGCACAGTTTGCCATCTGTGTGAAAGGCACTTCTTTTATCCTTTACTCTCATGTTTTTTTGGGTTTTTTTTTTCTTCACTTGAGAATCTCAACGTGTGGAAGAAATATTTTATTTTATTTCACCTTTGTACCAGACAGCTACTGAGCTCATTTTTCTCAACAGGGAAATATACACATTCATGAATGCCCATGCCTAGAAGGTGAACTGGTGGAAGAAGAACTGGGGTCAGAAGATGTGAGCCCCGTTTTTGACCTGGAAAAAATACAAGTCATTTTGAAAGAAAAATCATTCTGATTTTTGAGGTTTGAGTTTTTTATTGCATTTACAGAAAAACAAAAATTTAAAACCATTGTTATATGGTGTGTTCCCAGAAGAATTGTGCCTTCATATAGCATTTGTTTTCTTTGAATGTCTTGATAAATAAAATTAAGATTGTTTACTTGGCAAATAAGAGAGCCTATTGGAATGCTGTATCTTGCTACGTTAGTATGTCCAACAACCTCAAACGTAGTTTTTTCTAAGTATACTGTTTTTATGTTTGCATAATGAGTAATTCTATACAGTATTGCCAATGCCATACATAACAGATTAACAGAATATGCAGTGCAGCAAATCTTACACAGTAGGTATGTGTACAGTATAAATTATGTTAAAAACAAACAAAGCCAAAGAATTCTGTTATTCTTTGCATTTACTAGTGAAATAAGGTTATTCTCCAGTTCTACATGAACCTAAATAATAAAATTTTAAATTGTCACAAATCAAATTTACTGAAACTATTTAGATTTACACTATCTAAAATTCTTGTCCATTCTTGTAATGGATGTTATAATTTCATTTTTAATCTGGCTGTAGACAGTGATTATTTTTTGAGTTCTGTCAGCGACATGAACTCCTGATCCAGAGTTCTTGGTGGAACAAGATTAACCTCCATTGATATTCAGAGAAGAGTGAGCGTTTTTCCATTCTTGTTTCAGGGGAATCTGGAAATTCAGTGAAGACTGAATTGGGCTTTTAGGGAGAAATGCTAACAGTACTTGCATCCTATTAAAGAAAAACAGAGGTAGCAACTGGGCCTTGTTCTGCTCTGGGTGTTGTCATTGCCACGTGTAGTTCAGTGCTGATAAATGTTGTCACCAGGTCTGCAAGTCTGTGTGTGTAGATTACTCAGACGAGACATTCTCCTGCACAAATATACATAAACACTATAGGATATGCATTAGCCTTTGAAAAAACAAACAAGACAATCCTGCTGCTGTCAGGTCCAACAGCCTTATCTAGTAGGAACTGGTAGCAAACATGTTCTGTTTACTCATCAGTTCCTTAAGGTCATTGTAAAGCTAAAAAAAAATCCTAGTTCTATAAAACAGGATTATTTCTCCAGTTGTCAAAATCATTAAAGAAAAAGAAATGTTTGTTTGATGGAATTTTACTGTTGCAGCTGTGATGACTGGGGAAGATACAGCACCTTCACTTACTATTTTCAGTGCCTTCACTTACTATTTTCTCAAATAGAAGGAAAAAATCGAGAGAGGTGCTGAAAAAGAGGGAGATGCTGGGAGATAAACTCATTTCACAAATACTGACATAAGTGTGGTATTATTTTATTTTTTCTTAGAAATTATTTTACTCAGAATAATAGAGTATCAGACAATCCCTGAGATAAATTACTGTAAGGAAAAATTTTCAGTGATTAACAAAGGTACTGAATTTCAGGAAGTACCTTTTGCAATCTGTAATTTCATTGATTTAGATTTCACCCCTTAATACTCTGCTTTCAGGAACCTAGTAAAAATTATCTGCAAGAAAGCACTACAGTCATCATCATCATCATTGCCATCACCATGACTTTAATTTTTCTTTATTATTTCCCAGGAATGTATGAGACAAAATCAAAAGTCTTGTGAAGAAAAGGCACCACTCAGGTTTGCATAAGTAAATCAGGAGACTGCGTGCCTGCTGGTGGAGTTGGTGATGGAGAAAGAAGACAGAGAGGAAAAGGAGGCGGGAGAGAGACTGTCAGCTTCTAAAAATTAGCTATCGAATCACACAATGCTTACCCAAGTTCAAAGACATTTTTAAATTACTTCAGACCTTTTTCAGCCTGGATGGTGAGCTGGTACAGCAAAGAATCTCACTTGTAGAATTTGGTGCTTGTTTAGATAAAAATTGAAACTGCCTAAATACAGATTGCAGAGCTAATAGTGAACTAAAGCATTTAAGTCCTGGACCTCTGCTTTCTCAAGTGCACTTCACAAAATTTGAATGCAATAGAAATTCCTTCTGCTATCTGAGGTATTTGCAGTATTCAGGAGCCACACACCTGTAATTACCATGGAATTGTGATGTGCTGTGCTGTGCTGCCAGCATCAAGATATGGGGTTTTGGACTCAGTTCCCATATTTAATTAGTTATCCAGGAGATACATGTACAAGGAGTTATAGACTTTCACAATTTAAAAAATCAATACCGGATGCCAAGCATAAGGTTTTCATATTTATGCTTTACTTCTCTCTAAATCTGTTACATGACTTAGTTCACAGATTTCTATTTAGTGTTACTAACTAAACTACTAAACACTTGTTATACCTTGGAGGCATCAGGATCTAAAGCAGACAGCATTTGGATCAAAGTGGGGAGGACACATTGTACATCCCTGCCCCAATTCAATTCTTCATCAGTAGGACTGGAATTAAAAGGAGAGCTTTGAGCAGAGCCCTTACCCACTAGCAGCACTGCTCTTACGGATCAAAAGTCAACATAAATGTACAGATTGAAGGACACATTTGAGCAGAGACAGGTGGTACTAAGGTCAGCTCAAGTGTGTTGCAATGTAAGGCACAACTCCATGACTCCAATAAAGGGACAAGTATCAGGAGCAGGAGAAAGATGCCCCTTGCACTCACATTACTTGTATTGCCATGTACAGCTTCAGCAGAAATCTGGAGCCTTGAGACAAGGCCATACTAAGACATGAATGTTCTGGGATGTGGCAGTAATTAAATTAAAAGCCATGGCAGGTTTATCAACTAATCAGTGCTACTTGGTATCAAAGAACTCCACGCTGTGTGCCGGGACCTGCCTTGTCCCCGAGTACTCTTCACATGGCACCTGACAGGAAGCAACCTAAAACAACTTCCATACACATGTCCCTAGTACCTCTCCCTGCCTCTCCATGTACCACGCAGTTAGTGTAAGGTCTTAAATTTAAAATGCTCTGAGCTTCAGCTGTGACCTAAAGTGAACAAAGCAAATGCCATTCATGCCTCTCAGCACTGTTAGTTTTGCTGGCTCTTCCCCAGACTGATATGGAAAACAAGTTTTGCAGACTTCAAGAACATTCAATTGAGTGCAAATCCCTTCTCCACTGCTACAGTGCTTATCTTAAGAGAAGGAGGGAGATAGCAGCAGTATTTTCTTCTTTTAGAGGCTGACCTGCTGAATGTTGGGGAAGTAAGGCACAGGAAGGTGCCTGGGTGCTGCCCATATCACTCCACCCTGGATAAATGTGTTTTCAGGGAACTCAAAGCCTGCTGGTCTGGAAATTGTCTTAGGTGAGAAACATGTACAACAAAGTCCAGGCCTCAGTGAGTTTCTCTCATCCTTTCTTAGACAACAAGTAACCTGCACAATATAAATGGTGATACTGCTAGCAAGCTAAAATGCTGATGGGGAATTTTTAACCCCTCTTCTCCTTCCCTCCCAAATGACTTTTACATCATCAGATGAGTAACCCATATGCTTTATCATTACGATAATCCAATTTCTACTTATACTGTAGGACATTAATCTCCCTGGCCCGCTGTATAGCTGCTCATCTTTCTTAATCTGGGGCCTGAAAATTTTAACCAGACTCATTTCACCCTGAGCAGTAAACCAGAGCCCACTTCTTCCCTTCCCTATATTCACAAAAGGCACAAGAAAATTGTGCAGTCCTGCTTGTAAAAGCTGTGTAGGTTTCCTGCTTGGTTTAACCTATGCCTTAGTGCAGTAAATCCAAAAGATTCTCAATTATGCTGAGTCACACACTGTGTTTCTCATTTGTACTTTTAAATATGCCTTATCCAAAAAGTGATGTTACCAAAGGTAACATCCATAATGAATCCATGACTGGATTCATTATCTTTTAAAAAAAAAAAATGTATGGAAATGTCTATTATGCCTGACAATAGTCAGCATGCATTTGAGTGCATCCTGGTTCGAGGAAAGATAAAATATACCAGATGAAAAATGACTAAATACAAAGCCCCATATTCCTGGTTTTTTTTTAAAAAAAACAATAACAGATTTGGGATACTGTGACTTGGTTTGCACTTAACCATCTCCAGAAGTTTTCAAAAGTCTCTCTGGAATTTGTTAAATTCATTCTTATAGTCCTTGTGGGTCTAATATAAATGAGCATATATTTTTTAAACTAGTAATTGCTAAAAAAGCCACATAAATTATTTGAATTATGCAACACCAAAATTTTGCTGATTCAGGTAAGAAATTGCTCTGTCTAGGTGACAAAGATGACTAATTTTTGTGAAAATGTCTGGATTAAAACATGCATGTTCTAGATACTTGATCTGTGCAGCTGAATTGCAGAACCTGGGTTTGAGAGGGAAGGGAGGACAACAGGTCCCAAGGAAATCATTGAATGAAAGAGTGAAGGTCAAGAACCATGAATAAGTGAAGGGTGATATAGAGAGTCTCCACAAGAAAAAATTAAAGCACCCAAATCAGGTCTGTGCTTTGAACTTGCCTCTAGAGTAATTTGCTTTTCAATTCACCTCAGAAAACCTAAAGCAAAACTTAGCTTTTGCAGAAAATCTGTTCTGGTGGATTTTGGTTGGTGAAGGTATATTACTAATAACAAAGTATCTTTGATTTTTTTTTTTTTTAATTCTGTTGTATATGTATGGTGGGTCTTGACAGCTGGTCTGCAAGCAAAGCTGAGTTAATAGAAGAAATGACAAGTGATGATTTTTGAATGTATCTATAGCAAGGCCATCAGCATGGAAACAAATTAGAAAAGATACATGAACATTCTTATAAGTTAGGCCATGTGCAAAGTAGATGTGTATACGTGCCTTATTAAATTTCTGTAAAACTTTTGCCAATTATATTGATGCTAATTGCTTTGCATCAATGAATATAAGTTATTGTCATGTAGTTAATGACTTAAGATCACGCTTTGTTAAGAGTATATAAGCTAAAGAACACGCAAAATAAAAACTTTTTCTTCTTGAACCCTAATCAAGTGTGTGTATGTCACTTGTGTGACATTTGGTGCTACCTGTTCTAGGGTCACTGATATTGCAAAGACACGAAAAGATGTTTGAGGAAATTAGGGTTTACAGTGTGATGCAAATAATTACGAAGTGACTTAGCTCTGGTCATAAAAATATTCCTGCTACTGTGATTTATGCCATCTTGTGAGTATGGCTCCTTGCAATCCCCTAAGGTTATGCTGAGAAATAAGATGATGACGTCTCATGGGCTGTGTCTGAGGGGGACATACGAAGTATTCTGTGTTGCAGTAGAAACTGCTGATGTAGATATTTGTAAAAAGAGTATCAGAAGAAGCAGGAGCTCTCACCTCTTTGCCTGCACTGCTGTGGGGTAGTAGCGGGAGCAGGAGATCCCGTCCCAAGCGCAGTAGGGATCCCGAGCCAGGCAGCAGTCAGCGCAGGCTGTGCCGTACATGTCACACTGGTGGAACTTCACTTGGGCTATGACCGCCTCGGATCCCACGTAGAGCTGTTGCTGCAAAAAATGCACCACATAGGGTTCCTGGAATGTCCACTAAAACTTCTCTTTCCAATGCAGTTATTGAAATTGTTAAATTAACCGTTGCTTGTTGTGCTTCCAGCCTGTGACCTGAGGGAGGCAGAGTTACTCTGCAGGAAAATATCTGATTACAGATTAAACTCTCCTACTGAGGACAGAGAAACAGAAAGAAGGCAAAATGAACAAGTTTATTTTACATTTCCTTGCTTCTGAAGTTTCAGCTTGTGTTTGAATAGGCAAGGGTTTACATTTCTTTTTCTTCATCAAGATATTTTCCAGTGCCTCCCTCTTTACACTTGTCTGTCACCTAACTGATCTGCAAAACAACCCCAGCTTGACAGGAAAGATTTTAAACAAAGAAGTTAAAATATGCAAGGGTTATATGCAAACTCAATTTTAAAATGGGAGTTTTCAAGTAAATTTAACTCTTGATGGAGCTACTTAGAAAATGGTCACATATTTACATGCACAGTAGTGCTATGATTTTTATAACACCTCAGTGCATAGGAGATAGATGACAGATAGATAGACAGATAGATAGATAGATAGATAGATAGGCATTTAATTGTTTTCCTGTTTCTGTGCATAGATAGATAGATAGATAGATAGATAGATAGATAGATAGATATTTACTTGTTTTCCTGTTTCTGTGTAGTCTTTCCTTACAAATTACCTGGTCACTATCTACTTTTTTAGTATTTATTTGCAGGGTTTAGGTGGGGGTTTTTCAGCATTAGCATTCATTGTTTGAATCTTTTGAGCTCACATAGATGTCCTTTTCAACTCAAATAACAAATAATCAATTTAATTCTTCAGATGCTAGCACAATAAATTCAGAAGAGAATAGCTGGAATTGAAAGGAACTTGTGGAAGAGTCTTGTTACTGACGAATGTAAATTTTCTGAACACAGAAAATATGCATTGTGCACTGCAGTAGAAACCGCTGATGCACAGCTCACTTCCACAGTTTTACCAGTCAGAAAAAGGATTCCTAAGTTGTGCTCATCCTAGTGGCCAAACTTAGTTTCTAAGTTTCCTATTCTTCTCTCAAGCTCTCAAAATCTGGTATTTTAAAGTTACTTAAAGCTGGAAAATACCGACACCTTATTTAGTCTATCACAAAATATAATTTTTAATCTGGATAGTCTGTTCTTGTTCCTTATTATATTTCTTATATCTCTTTAGATCATAGAAATTTAACTTTCAGAGATGCCAGGGGAATAAACTAGGAGAGGCTGGTAACAACAATGCTCGAAGATTTTTTCTGGTGAGATAAACCAGATGATAGTAGCAGGAACTCAGTCTGCCAACTGGAATGAAGAGAAAACCTAGGATACTTGTTTGAGGGGAATTCTTTGTCTGCAAGTGCTGAAGTTTGATTGTCCCAGAAGACATGAACAACACTTTCAATGAGACATATGAGATGAGATTTTCTCTTTTATCTTTTAACCGGGGTAAAGACTTCTTTAAGTCTTGGTAAATCACAGGAGGGAAAAGAAGCATCTGATATCTAGCCAACTGAACATCAAAGAACATTCTTTCCCAGTCTCTGCAGATAACAAGCTCAGCCCTGAAATGTGATATTTTACTGTACCATCACTTGGTGAAGACTGGTCAGTGTTATAAGGATATGGAGACATAGGTAGCAAGGAGATCTCCACAGGGTCAGTAACTCCAAGTTCAAAAGACATCAGCAAAAATGCTTGAGGTACAACATTTTTTTCATGTATACTCAACTACGTTATATTCCTGCTGACTTTAAAGACAAAATTACTTGGTGCCAACTCTGACCGTAGCACATATTCTAACATTTAATTGTCATCAGTGTCAGAAAACTGTATCCAATTTCAAGAATAAGTTTATCTACATTAACAAGCTGATCTTGGTTTTTTTTAATCTGATATTGTTTTGCCACCAATGTTTAAGAATCCTCATATACACAGTAGGAAGTCACTTCACACAGTAAAATATCTTCACACAGTAAAACATATATATATATATATATATATATATATATATATATATATGACTCTCCTATTCTCTCTCTCAGTTTTCTTTTTGATCTCTTGAAAAAGTAAAGCTACTTTTACTTCTCACAAGTTTTTTTCTTCAACTTCTGGGTTGCTCTGGTGGCTTTTTTGAAGATCGGTCCAGCGTAGCACATATTCTAACATTTAATTGTCATCAGTGTCAGAAAACTGTATCCAATTTCAAGAATAAGTTTATCTACATTAACAAGCTGATCTTGGTTTTTTTTAATCTGATATTGTTTTGCCACCAATGTTTAAGAATCCTCATATACACAGTAGGAAGTCACTTCACACATCGGTCCAGATTTTCCAGATATGCCTTGAATTAGTAGAGTTAGCACACCTCTTGGGAGATGAATATAAGGTGGGGAATGTTACTTCATATTTTATGATATCTCTGTTTTACTCTTCCAACAAAACCCTTTAACCATGACAATTCATTGAGAGTTAAAGGTAAGGCAAACATCTGAAAAGACACCAAGTCTTTCTCCAAATCATCACTTAGGTGCAGTGTTAGATTGTTCATTATTAGATAATCTAATCTCCAGAGCTGCTTTCACAGTCTGTGGGAAAAGACTGAGGCAGGAAATAATTCAAAATACTTTGACCCAAATCCTTCTCTGAATTACCATCACAGGACTTTGACCTTCTGCATTACATACAGGAAGAATGCAAGCTGATTAGACACCAAGACTCAAATAACCCTTTGGGGCACAGTCACACCTCCTAATAGTGCAGATTTCATTCTTTCTTATTCGTGTTTCACTGTGTTTATGTGCACCTACATTGCACCCACTGTCTAACATCACTATGGACATGTTTAACATTAAGATATAACTATCCTTGGATGTTTATAATGGCTCTATGCTGAGATGATATGATGACATATAGACAGATGATTGATATGATATGATATGATATGATATGATGATATGATATGGAAGAGAATCTGCCCACAAAAATAATAAATTGGGTGTTTACATCAGCAGAAATTTTCAGAAACTCAAAAACAACTCAGATCCAAACAGCCCTACAGGGCAACTGAATATGTGGGAGAGCCAGCAAGGCTCTTTTTGCTGATATCCCCATGGGGCTGAAGTCTGTCTGCATTTATCAACAGAGAACTTTTCTGTGAATTGCCATATCCACCAAGCTAATCTCTACTGTGATTAGTACCATGGTAACTCATGAAACAGATTGTTTTTTACTTGCATTGATATTTTGGTATGGTATTGTGAACTAAGGATATTTACCACTGGAACTGAAAAACATAAATACATTATAAAGGAACAGAGCATATAACCATATAAGCATATAAGTTTATATTACAGAACAATTACATGTATCAAACCAGATCTCATTATAGATGATGTACATCTGTCCATCTTATCCATACATCTAGCTCTATGCAGTTTACAGCTTCATTATGTTTGAGTCACAGTCATCATATTTCAAACTTGCAAAATACTTACCCTTTTCGAAGAGATTTCCATAGAAATAATAGGAACTGGCATCTAAAAAAATAGGAAATATTTGTTTGCTTAGAAAAAATGATATCTTTTTGCTATGAACATAAATCAGGTAAAATAGTATTGGTATTTACTTACGACATTCAGCTTTGCTAGATACTTTGACTTTCTTTAAGAAAGATGTGAGGAAATTGTGACTTTCAGAAATATTGCTTTAAAACAGTTTATTTGGAAACAAGCAGCCAACACTTAATTCAGGATTATCAGAGCTACAGGAACACTACAATTTCCCTGTCAAACATGACATTAGCTCTTGTCACCACAGAATGTCTTTTGTCCTGCTTGAGAGTGATAAGTGGAGTGTTCCTTACAACAAAACATTCATTGAAGATAAGATGAAAATAGCAGGAATTCCTTCTTTTACCATTGTCCTCTCTGCCCTCTGCTCAGATTTCTTGGAGCAATACATAGCCCCTTATATTTCTATTCGAAACTAGCTTTATCAAGAAGAGCAAATTCTGTGATTTTCCCTGCAGGCAACAAATGAATAGTTACACTGCCTAAATTCAGGTACCAGATTTAAATGTCTAACTTTTTATATTAGATTCTCCCTATAGTTTGCAGCAGGCTAGTGTAAATATAGCTTTATTTGGCTAATGTGACGTGATGAGAATACTCACTAAGAATTTCATTATGTTAGCTTTGTCACATGCCAAGAACTGAGCTTTAGTCGTAGGTTGTTCCTTAGGAGAATGGAGTTCTGCCTCACTAAGAGCCATGTTTACCCACTGTAGAGACAGGTTAGCTGATTCACTTTTTCTGAGTGGACTTTTTTCTATCTGGAGACCTCATTTAGGTCTCCAAGATTGTAGCAGGCACATTTTTATGTGTGCAGTTATACTTTTTTAATTACTTAATTAGATATGAGGGAAAACTAAACAAAATGCAGTAAGTTTCTAATTAAAAGTTACACTCCAATGTCCAAGCACGTAAATAGGAAGGCACTATTCGTGATTTCCTTCAGCATGCTTTAGTACTTGGGACATTAGAAAAACTTCCTTTGAAAATGAAGGTTTCCTGTCATAAAATTTCTAGATAATGAGAAAATTTCTTGCACACAAGTATTATATATTTGACTATCCTCAGATTTTTTTGACATTTTAATTCTGATGAAAATTCAAGACTTTGTATACAACGCAGTTCACCTTGAATACTTGCAGCTCTTCAAGAATCACTTCTTCCATTGATTCTGTCTCTTGATTGTAAATTGTTATAACTTTCAGCACAATACCATTATCTGGACAAAAATTTAAAAGAAAACAAAACAAAAGTAAAGGTTATGATTGGTTGAAACATTTATATAACATTTATATACTCTAGGACACCTTCAAATACCTGAAATTACTTCAAATTGTTAATGGATTGAAATTTATACATATGAAGAGGTAATTACATTGTGCTGTCATTAGTGAGGATTCTTACTCTTAGAAAATGAAATATATGACAATTTGTCCCTGGCAAATAAGAGTCAATTTAGACACTTGAAAGATACATAATTAATTGTATTTTTCAAATATTGGGTCATAACACATTGTGAATAGCAAAAGGATCACAGAGGACAACCATATTTGAGAAAAAGAAATGGGAGTGGGTGGAAGCCTAGTGCATTGAGGCAAGCAAGTGTAAAGTAGCTTTAATTATAGGATCTGAGTGTTTACACTAGATAGCAAACTACTAATATCCTTAATTGCTGACAGCAGCTCCATTCCCCCAGGCAAAAGTATAAAAGCCTTCAAGGGCTTTTGTGCACAATTCTTACCCTTCTCTAAGGAACCACCAAGCTGCTGTTGAGCTGAAGGTGTAGTTGAAAGGAGATGAACCAAAATATAGGATGCACATTCAAAGAGACTAAGGCACATTGGACTTAGATTTATCAACCTCTCAGTCTCTGCAACTCTTGCAGGAAAGTAAAACACACAAATAACATCTGGTCTTCCACCACTTTGGTTTTGCCTTGCTGGCTATTTATAGAAAAGCCTTGCTCTCCTTAAACTGAAAATCTGTCATCAACAATGGCAAATATCACTTCTTTTCTTCTGTTATTTTCAGTCATCTTTCATTTACAGGAGACATATTAAGCAGGGAAGCACTGGGGAAATCGTTCAGCAAAAGATCAAAGGGTGAAACAAAAAGAGAAACCATTAAACTGGGGTCATACACCATTTTTCAAAGAGACTATGTAATCAAAGGCAACCATTTTGTAGTAGAACAGTGAAAAGAATTTGTATTCTGAGCTGTGATTTTCATAAGTAAGTCCCTCTTCAAATCCTGCTGACAGACATGTGAAAGCTCTGATGTTCAGACTTCGCCTTTGATGAACCTTTCTAAACTGCACTGCTACCCTAAAGAAACTTGCTCAGCTGTACGATGCTGCTTACTTATGTTACACAGCAGGTGTTGGACTGGGATTAAAAAAATATATATATCAACCCTTTCTAATATTATATTGCCCAAATAAGCACTCAGTTTTCTGATGGGAGCTTTGCTGGAGTAGTGATTGCAGGTTTCATTTCAGAGTTTCTAAAACCCGAATTCTTTTGCTGGAATTTCATGCTACCTGGGATCAGACAGCCTGAGAACACTAGGCAGCTGTTGGGGACCAATCCAGCACAGCTCTAAAGAACACATTTAATCCACTTCGGATTCGACTTTGCTGAACAAAAGACTTGTGTACAATAATATTTGATGCAGTCACAATTAAAAATGCAAGGAGAAAATATAAAGGATGTAGGGCCCACTGTAAAATCTGCTGTACAGAAATAAGTAACACATGATACAATGTTTTACAGACCATTGTTAAGTCCATTACCAAGACCATACCAAGGCTGTTTAAAACCATAGAAAACAGAACTGATATAAATAGTGCTTTGCTATTCTATTAACATGATTTTTTTAATGTTCTCAACACTGAAATGTACTTACCAGAGGAATTTCATTAGTAAAAAATAATTCACTGGAACTGCTTTCCTAGACAAAATGGTCAAAATTATTTGTGATACCACTCCTGATGTTAAATTGATTAAATGTGAATGTAAGAATCCTTGGTTTTTTTCTAGACAGATTAGATGTGACTTAATTCTTGTGTAGTGACAGCCTTTCCTCTTGTTTTCTTAAGTTTTTCTATTTTTCAAAGACCATTAGGGTATTGATTTTTTCTCTGCTTTCTTAGACTTATACTGAAGGTATATGTTATATTTTGCCTTTATTGTGTTTGTTAGGAAGATGCTTAAAAATTCTTGTTAAACAAGCTCTCCATGTTTTAGTGAAATGGCACAGACGAAAGACAAGAAAACTTGGCAGGAAACTTCTAACAGTTTTGGGATTTTTAAAATCGGGCATTTCCTCCTTCCTTCCTTCCTTGAGCTATGTTGAAACCAAAATCTGGAAGCTGGAAGGTTTTTTTAATGGTATCAGTTAGACTTGTTGTCTCCAGAACTCGGGAAAAGAAACTGTGGAATAAAGCCAATAACTTGAATGGATATTTTTGGAAATCATATCACCTTTGCTTCTCTCAGGTCTCCAAGTCTCAGCTTAGAGATATGACAGTGTTCTGAAGTTTAAAAAATAAGGCTGGCTGTTTTTTTTAATATTCTTTTTTGAAGAGAAAAGAAATGGAAATGGAATTTTCATTTTCTCTTGCTAGTTTTTAAATAGTTCCCTACCATTACTTTCCTATATGTTAGCATCACAGTGAAGCACATGTCTGGAATGACTAACACCCTCTGTAAGGTGAAGGCATGAAAAGAAAGGTTGATAAAAATAAATGCTGTATAGATTTGCTTAATCCTGGAAAAAACAAACAAACAACAAAACAAAACAAAGAAAAAAGAGAAAGAAACAAAAACTTGTTAAATTGTAAATGTAAAAATTCTTTCTTGTTTTCTTTATTTACCTGTGCCAATGAACAGAACATCATATTGCCCATCTTCAGCTTCCACTCTGTCCACTGCTATTTGTTTAAGATTGTACTTTCCATCTGTTTTAACTAGTATTGGTCTCTTATGAACAGGCCTGATGGGCTGATACATCAGTGGATGACTCCTGGCAAAATGGACAGCTTCATCAGGATAGTCTTTAGTGGTGGTATACAGCCCGCCATTCACCTTGCTGGCACACTGCAAAAACACAGAACACAGATTATCCTGAAAGCTTGCCCAAGAAATTGTCAGAAAAGAGTCTTGTTTTCAGGGATAAAGATAAGTCTACAGAAAACCGAGCACAGAAAACCACAGCAGGAATTAGGACAGTGAACCCTGTGCTTTATGCGTGTGTGGATTATTAATCATAAGAAGGAAATGCTGAGCAGTGCCTTGGCATTGCCATGTTTAGGAAGCAGGAGTTCGTCCCCCTTTGGCATACTAAGACAGAATAAAGGGTAACACCTTTAGATTTTGACAAAAGCCATAGTGCTTATTTCTTCCCCAAACTCATATTGAAGATGTAATCAAAATGGCCATGGACAGAGTAAGAAGAAAGGGCTTTTCTGTCCCAGTAGAGAAACAGACATGCAAAGTCAGCAGAACACTAATGCTTTAAATCAAGCTCTAGTCTTGTTATTTTTTGATTGCAAAATGTATTACCATAAGAAACTAAACTAAACTTAAAAATTATGCCAACAGTAATTCTTGATTTCAGGAATTTTAACAGTATTATGTTTGATTCTGATTCCTGACTCTAGATGACAGCATTATATATCACAGTTTAGCTTCAAATACCAATGTTTGCACTGATCAATCTACCAGTTTGTAAAGCAAATAAACGTTATGTCAATGACTGATTAAAAGAGGCTTACTCCTTGAGTTAAATGTGCAATTAGAAATAATTTACTGCATTAAAGAGAAAAGTTAATTTTAGGATGCTTTGTGAAGGAGATAGTGTTTCCCAGCTGAACATAGATCCTACATTTCTAATTTGCTTCATGATGTCTAATTGGAACCATTTATGATCAAGCTGGGAATATCTCAGTAACCATTTACTTTCTCTAAATATTCATAAGACGGTGTGGTTTTAAGAAGCATTTCAAGTAAAGCCACAGTAGCAGACTTTCTCTATTTAAATTGGATTTTTCAATCAATAAAATGAAATACAATACTCCTTAAGTTTACTGGAAACAGTAATTTTAAACTTGTGGTCAGCTGTAATCAACAATAACAAACTCCTGCACTTGTCAAGCAGGGCAATGTTTGTTTCCACTTTTTGGGTTTAGCTACAGGAATGTATTTGTTCACTGTTGCTTTAGAAGTAATTGTCTAATCAACCTAGTGATGGAATTTTACCAGCTGTTTGCAATAAAGAGACAGAGCTGGAGCACGAAGACAGGCTGAGCCTGTGCTTCCCATGCACTGCACAGCGTATCAAGTGAATAGGCATTGCCAGGTTCCCTTTGCAAAGTTCTAGTCCTGGAGAGATTTAATACAAATAATCATTCACTGGCTTTTTCATTTTAATTAAATAAAATCAAGTAGTCTAGAAAGGAAACAGTAGATGCAGCTGTCTCTAAAGTCTATCAACCTCACTTGATATAGCTGATGTCATTTCCAGAAGCAACACAGCCTAAATGAACTAAAAAAAACAGGAGAGACCATGGCAGAGGATTGTGGAGTCTGTCAGAATCTGTGTGATTCTTAAGAGCGGCTTTCTGTTTATTTAGCTTTAAGCTCTACTCTCATTCCCCATAGACTTCTTCTTTACTCATTCAATACCTAAGATCAATGAGTGCTGACTCTCAGAGACACCCATTAGCAGGTTATTTTTTGCCTCTTGTCACCATCACTTCTGTAATAGGAAAGGCAGTGGGATTTAGTTTACCAACATGCTGCACATTGTTTGGAGTGTGGAGCCTAACACTTGACTACAGCCTGCTACACAATTTCTCTTCATGCTACTGGATAAACATTGAAAAGACCTCTAAACTGTGCCATAAATGAGTAGCTAAAAATGAAGCAATTAATGCTCTGTTACCTGGCAGAGCCATCTACTTCAGCCTCTGATGTGCTCTGCAACGTATAAAGAAATCCACAATTAAATCTATTAGCACTCAGGAGAGACCTGCTTCCTCAGCTATTTTTTTCCCTGATATTGGGAAATTACTTGCACTCTTCTGTTCCTTTTTCTGTTCCTATGCCTTGCCTTTTTGGGCAGGTGACACTCTAATCTGACCCATACACAGCCAAGGAAGAGAAGCATTGGAAGCAAGTGGAACTTAGGGCAGCCTTCCTATAAATCATTGTCAACCTTGCTGAAGTGCTGGCTCTGTGTTCTCTCCTTCTTGCCAAAAAGACACCATTTAATCTTCAGTGCTAGGAGATATCAATGTTATAACTGCAGTCATTAACATTGAATTCATGCCTCTGTTTAATGCTAGTCCAAATAACATATGTGAGGTGTTCTACTGCCCGGAAAAAAATGAATACCACTTAAAAAACTTGGATTGTATCATCTTTGCAAAATATACAGCTACTCCGCAATCCATGCACAATACAGTCTCATTATTTGGTAAAACTGCAAAACCCATACATCTGCTATACAAAATATATTATAAGAAACCAATAATTCATATTAATTCAACCATTTATCCTAAAAAGTGATAATTTTTTTACCTGTTTTTCTATCCTGACTCAATACTAATGACTTAAATTGATGTCAAACAAACAAAAAAAAATATTTAGTATTGATGCCAGCACTGCTACAGTGGTAGCTCATTGGCTAGGATGGTCAAATCATATTCATAATGTTTAAATCCTAGATAATCTCTTTTTTGCAGTATCTGCATCTAAATTTTGACTTATGTCTGTAACCTCAAGAGAAGTAGAGAAAAACATTAATTTTAAATTATTAATTTAAAATGAGAAATGTCATGTATTTGAAATCATACAACATGGAGAAAGGTGTCACTGGAATGGAGTAGCCAATCTAATATGCCTTTTCACCTCTCTTTCAAGAGATTCAGTGGTAAATTAATTGTATGCAATGCTTACTTATGGAAATGATTGCTTTTAGTATAAAAGGGAATATAGATTCAGCTAGCAAAGGGAAAACAGCACTGAAGGGAATGTCCAGCAACTGTTCATTACATCTTTAAGTTCAAGAGAGTGAGCCCCAAGCCTAAGAGAAGATTAGGAAGCAAAGTGTGAAAACTGGGGGGTGATTTAACAGCTGTTAGAAATGTCTTTGCTCAGAGCTAGAAATCTGCCCAATGCTGACATGGCAAGGGGTAGACCTTCATGACTGTAAACAAAAGCAGCTTTGCAGCACAAGACAATTGCCATGGATGGGTAGGTAGCTGTAATCCCAAAAGGCACAGGGTAAAAAAGAAATCCTGGATGTTCTGCTTCCCTGAGTTAGGCTGGCATTGCCTACCTCCTCCTGTAGGCTGTGCCTGCCCTGTGAGATGGTGACAGGCCCTGCCATGCAAAGGGCACCTTTGACCTGCACTGATGGGTGCCCTCCTCACCCCTCCAGAGGGGATGTGAGCACCTGGCACAGAAACAGCCAAAACACTAAAAAGACACTGAAACAGGAAAAGGGCTTGAGGTGAAGATTACTTGCGATGCCCTTGTGAAAACAACATGGCAATTCCTTGTAGAAGTTGTTTGTCTCTTAAGTCATGAGTTTGTGATTTCCTCCAGAAATCTAAGTACCAGACAGGAACAGCTCCATACATGACAGCACCTCTATAGCTGCTGAATTCTTGCTACAGTAATTCCCATTTAATTGCATGTTCAAAACACATCTTGTTTCTTTCCTTCAGTTAATCGCCATTGAGGAAAAAAAAAGTTTATAAAGAAACTTGTGTGAAAATTAACAAAAAGTATGAGTAATTTTTATGAGTTTGTTTTTTACAGTGTTATTTTAATATTTTTATATTCTTTGTAAGTGATACAGAGCATGAATGTAGATAAGCTCAGGAACCTGATTGAAGGGTAGAAAAATCTCACTCTGTGATGTCTGAAAGGAAATCAATGAACTGTGAGGTTGTCAGACCATTGCTTCCAGAAAGAACCAATCTTGAGCAAAGGACTTTCAATAATGGAGAACTTGCTCCTTATCTACAAATGCATTTATTCTGATTAGTTAGTTTTATTAATATATGTCTAACTTCTTACCTGCTCATTGATCTAAATTACAGAAGTATTTAAATTTGATCCTTTTGGAAAATGAGGTGGAAAAAAAGGAACGAGACCACCCTGAAAACAACTGAAATATTGAAACTATTGAAATAGTGGATTCTTTTTTTTTGGGGGGGGGGGGAGGTTGTTGTTGTTGTTGGGGGTTTTTTTACTTCCTTTAACTCTTGCTAAATGTCCCAGTTTCAGCATGCTAAAGAAAGAAAGATTCCTTCATAGGTAACGCACTTAATGTTTCTGAATGAAACTGAATGCATCAGATCAGCCTCTTTCTATCCCGTTTGCCTGGGGTCCTAATTTTGGGACCTTAGGACCTTTGCACAATGTTGATAAAATCATGTCCCAACAGAATTATTAAAAATCATATATAGTTAATCCCACTATTTTCCTTTGGAGAATGTATGGTTCTAGTACTTGACTAAACCTAGTGCTGAGCCATTCCACACTTTTCCAGAATAGCTGGAGTATGCAGATATTCAAAGAATATCCTGGACTGTGAAGTCAGGAAGATTTGTACATTAGCAGCAGTCTGCTTTTTCTTTCCGAAATCATTTACACAGCAAAGCAGTGGAAAATAGACTGTACTTACTGAACCAGGTCTAGGATAAGGTACTTTTCTTTCATAGAGAGCCCAGTGGTATTCAGGTCCTTCTTTATGAGCATATGGTCCATTGAAAGCTGCTCGGACACTTGCCATGTGGTAAACACATATAGCATATCCTCTGAATATGTTGCTACAAAGTAAAATTTAAAGACATTATCAAAGCAATATGCCACATTCTGTCCAGATAATGTTATGTAATTAAAATTACATTTTTATGTAATTTTAAATTACATTATTATGTAATTAAAAACAAGTCACATTTCAACAGCATTCAGGGAGAAAACACTTATTCATCACTATGTGCTTTTCTTCTAAATACTGCATCCAATGTTCTTCAAAAGTCTTTAATTTATTTGTATTCATAACAGTTCTCCAAGGAAGCTCTGTGTTGTTATGCCAAAATTTGATGCTAGTGTACACAAACTCTAAATTACTTGTTTAGAAACAGAGAAAGCAAAACAGAGTGAACTTAGGTCTGTATGTCTTTGATTAGGGACTTAAACAGTTTAAGATTTTAACATTTTTCCTACTATTTTTTGCTTGGAAAGATGGGACCAACCAATGCTGACTAAAAGAAACAGTCCTAAAATGAGTCCTTTTTGTATTGAATGGGAATGTTGGTTGGTATTATTAGTTAGATCAGATCACTTTATGTTGAACAATCCAGATAAAAGTTTCTATTTTATTTTTAAATTTTATTTTATTTTGTTCCAGAAGAACAACTGTTTTTAGTTTTTTCAGGGTTTTTTTTGTTTGTTTGTTTTTTAAAGAAGCATGAGTGCTCTCTACAAAGAAATTATTTCTGAAGACTGCAAAAGATGATCCAGAAAATTTCAATTTGGTGCCCAACTTTCTCTACTGGCATCAAGAGTCATGAGGAAATGCCAGGTGTTTGCAACCCTAGGGGAGCAGATCTGCCTTCTCTTACTAAAAAAAACCAAATCAGGAGAAAGTGGCAAAAGCATAGGCACTCTTTTCTACCAGTTACATCCTAAACAGTCAGATTTCCAAGCTGAGAGTACTGCGTGCTTGTGCCTGAGCTAGGCTGCAGTGGAAAGGGAAAAGGAGGCCACCAGTAGCATTGCAGCTGCTGCTTTAGGCTTCACTAAGAAATTAGTAGGAACTTAAGCTGCTATCTACTTAACCTTGAATTACAGTGGAGCTCTTAAAAGAAGACAGGTGGCTCTGAGATGCTGTTCTTATGAGCATGCAGATGTGCCTGTACTTTGACATAGGAAGATGTCAAGCTGAGAAACAATTAATTTGTGATCCAGGTATACTGAATCACAGAATGAGACTTCAAGCCCTTGAGTGTTATAGAGAAGTTTTTACATTAACAAGAAAACCCACTGTGAATAGAACTGAGATTAAACTGTTTACTACATAGTTGCTAAGGGATATGTATCATCCAGCTTCTATCCCTTTAACAGACTGTTCAAACATTCCTCTATGGTTGCTATTATTTCTGCTAGTTGTTTACCTTGTCGTGTTGAAGAGGCCAAATATCACTGGATTTTTGTTATCACGAGTTTGCAGCAAAAACACATCCTCTGTAAAATTTAAATGCAATGTTATTGTTAAAAATCTACTTTTTTCAGCCTGCCAAAAGAAAATTAATTGATTCTTAAAAGCATAATCATATTTTTATTTATTCCATTTAATTTTATGCAGATTTTAATCTTTTAAAAACAATGCAGTACATAAAGGAGTAATTTGTGATGGTGAACTCCATATGTGCAGAACTTCATATACATTGGAAACAACACTCACCACCATTCCCTGACAGTGAATACAAGTGCAATATTTGACATTAAGAAGTTTTATCATGAAGGTATATGATTTTTTCCATGGTTTCTAGTTGTTTGCTGGCTAGGATATTTACCTAATTCATCAAAATGTGTATCAATTCCATTTCTCCCTGGCACAGAACAAACTAGTCTGGTTTTGAGGAAAGTGGTCCATTTATTGACGAGCATTCGCTGGCCTCCCATGTCATTCTGTGTAGAGAGAAACAAACGCCAGTGGTAATATGAATGAGTAAGTCTAGAAGCACAAACATCTCTGATGAATTAGCTGCTCATTATAACTTCTAATGTCAAAAGCATCCATTTTCAAACCACATGTTTATTACTAGAATTATTTTTCTGGAGTCAGTTTTCAAGTAGGATTGCACTGATCAAGTCCAGGTCTCATTAAGATCTGTGGTTTCATAAGAATTTTTTAATTCTGCACCACATCCCTGGATAGTTTTAGCTATACAGCTGTTGCAAAACTTTTTTTTATTGCTCGTTTTTGCAAACTAGACATACTGAGCACATTACTGAAGTTTAGCTTTGCTTTAAGAGCTCAGTGTGGGGTTAGTTCAGTGTATCTGGAAACTGAAGCCCTGAATATATCTATAGACCTGGTGCAGGTGAGGCAAGTCTGAGGCCATTATTTACATGGTTTTCTAACAATTTCAACAACTTTAAATAACACTTGCCTTGCTATGGCTGTGTCACCTTTTCCTTGCTCTTGCAACTGTTGGGACTTTCAAGAAAAGGGAACATTTAGTACTACTTGCTTTAGGATGCATCCTCAATCTGTGGTCTTAAATTCAAGATCTGTGTAACTGGTTCTTGAAGGCTCTGCAATAGGCTTGTAAAACTCCTCTTACAAACAGAGATCTGTTTTTCTTAGAAAAGTAGATATATGCAGAATAGGTGCCTCTGTGTTACAAAACCTGTTACAGCTCATATGAAGATGTAAAGCTGCAGGAAAAAAGCCAGTTCTTGAATCACCAGCCAGGTATTTTTTGTATTCACTAAATCAAATCTGAATTATGACATACAGCTGTGAAGTTAATGGCCAGATAAATTTTGGAGAAGTGGAAGAGAAAGGTCAGTGGGATTTTCGTTTAACTCATAGCTAGAGATAAGACTTCCTGGTGGATATATTGCAGAATAGGGGGAACTGTTAAAATAATCTATCCAGGCATATATTCAGAACAGAAGCCAAAGAATTCCAGCTTGGATCTTGATGCAGGTTGAAATTCAGAAATTCAAGTCTCTTTGTGAACATTAATGTCTGAGGCTGCAATTTGGTACTTCACATACATCAGATGGTTTTAAATTATACAGGAGTACCTGAGAAAGTTTAAGGGGCAGTATGCTGGTGAGCATACATGACAAATACCACTTATTGAGGTGATAGAAAATAATTAAATTGTATCTTGTTCTTTGCCCAATAGCCTCTGAACTATCCCCTAAACTATATTCCCTGCAGTTAGGAGGGGGAATACAAACTTTCTTTTTAAGCAAAATCAGGTGTTAAGAAATAACCTTCTCTTTCTTTCCTTACATCAAACTGATGTAGCCCCAGTGGGAAAATGGGAGAGCTCCTCTCATCAACCTTACACTAGCTGGTTATTAGAAGAGGAAAGCACCCAAAATTCCTCAGTGTTTAGAGAGCACCAATACGGGCAGCTGGGAGATCTAATGTTAACAGTGCTCCTCTCCAGCAACTGCCCGAGATCTTACGGTTGTGTGTGGGGCCAGGGAGCCAAAAAGAGATGAGATCAACACATCAGGAGGATGGCCCCACCGGGAAATGGAGTATAGAATAGAGCAGTACAGGGAAGCAAAATCTTTCCTCATGATCTTTATGCCCCTGGTAAAACTTAAGTCTGTTTGTGATAATTTGCTGGACAATTCATCATTTGTTCTAGTCTCTTATCTGCACAATCAGAGAAAGGTTCTTACCGCACATACACGTCCCACTCTGGTATATATGGCATGAGTGCTTGTCTCAGCTTCCAAAGCTTTCTCAGTAAAGAAGAAATATACTTTGTTATCATCGTGGTCTTCATTGTCAGGAATCATGTATGAGCCAACGAATTTTGGTTCTTTAAAAAAAACCAAAAAGGAGTTGATTCAAGTAATTAAAATACTGCCTTATTTTTTCAAACCTTAAAACCAGCCTATAGCAATGCAAAAAATAAAATTAAATGTAAGGGCTCTGTCAGTCAGAGAGCTTTTTAAGGGCAATTGGGTGATAGTAAACAGTAAAATAGTTACAAGAAATATTAAAAAAAAAAAAAAAAGTTTTTTTGGTAGGTATCTGTAGAACATGTGGAATAGATTAACGGCGATATATTTTTACATCTTCAACTATTTTTATATCTTCAACTGACAAATTAATATTCCTTTGTATTTTTGCTAAAGACAGTTTTCCAGTCCCATTCTCTGTGTTTTACACATTTTAATTTGAACTAGGCTAAAACCCCACACTGATATTTGCATAGTAATCTGTGATCCCATGCAAACCAGAAATGGTCTAGCCATCTGAAACACCTCTGGTTTCAGCTCCTTCTCCGCCCCACACCTTTCAGCAGGCGCTCATTGTCCGGCTCAGTGCGAAGATGGGCCACGCGGTTCATGGAGCGAAACACGGCAGCGTCTCTTCCCCAGTAGTCACTGTAGAGACCAGTAAAAAGTTCACCACCTGCAGACCAGACATCATAATAAAAACCTAAAATGAAATGATTTGGTGATACTCCACATATTAATTTCATTGCACGTTATAGGAATCATATTATAAATACTGTATGTGCTAATGATTAGGCTGAGAGGTTTTCCAGGCATCCTACTGAACTGTTCCACTTCACCTGGAATAATTACGGTTTGGGAATCACTTGCTGGCTGAGGGGATTCTGTGTTCAGTGGACACAAAAGAAAGGGACTATTTTTCTCTGGTCCAGCAATAAGTTGTTTTCACAGCATTGAAATATTTACCAGTGCAAGGACAGAACCTGAGATTTCATCCATCCTCCACAACTGGTGATTAATTGTTCTTGAAAAATTTATAAAAACAGAAATTGGGTCTCATTTTCAAAGGATTTAGATGGTACTCACAAATTGAGCAATCATCATAAAATTTAGAAATAATACACTGAATGACAGACACTGTAGAAAAATAAATATGTATATAGGTACAATTTAATATGTTCAAAAATCAAGCCTATCTCTGACCTATCTTAATTTGTGATATTGGATATATTTTACTTTGGGCAAATGCCATCCATACTTCTGCCTTTCAGTTTTGCATGGACACTATTCCCCTTAACTTACCAAGCATTAACAATAACTTATTTCATATCCCTGTTGACTTGGATTACAAATTTTTTAGCCCAAATTTAAGAAGCAGACAGCTTCAGCAAGCAGTTGTCACTAGGTGGCATCCTTATGCTAGAAAATAACACAAAAGGAATTAAACTGCACAAGGGGAGGAAAATAAATTATTTCCAGTTGAAGGCTAATCTGAGTGGAGTGATACAGCTTCCTGCATCCTAATCAAAATAAACATGACTGATCCACCCAAATAATGTTTGCTGTCACTTATAAAGGATTTTAGCAGAAAGCAAGAATTTTGTTTGCAAGTCTCCCACCAAGTGCGAATCTTGTTTCTTTTAAGAGAGACACATGAATTGAATGGTGGCATAATTGTGAATGATTATTCTGAAAAGTTAATATTTTGGCAGCTGGGACTGGCTCCAACACCTCTGCTGAGCTGGATCTGAGCATAGTTTTGCCTTAGGCTTCATCATATCCAGAATGGTTATTGCCCTGGAAAATATATGGTTGAGATTTACTGTAAAATATTGGCAAGTGAAGCAAAATGTAAGTATAAATTATAGCATCCATAGAAATGAAGGTTGCCCAAAACTAATAGGGAACTTTATTTTTTAAATAGCACAGAACTGCCTAAACTGTAGAATTTGCCAGTGTCTCTATAACTTTACTTGCTTTAAACAATCCCTAATTAATAAGTTATATTAGTCATATATCCCCCTTTGGGAATTCCATTGGGAAATATGTCAGACTGGCTAGTGTTCATTTTAGTTTAGGTGATGTGTAGTGCAAAACAGGACATTTTATCTTTTCAGAACTATAATGAATCTTGGAAAATGCATCAGTGTAAGGTAAATGATTCATCACATATTGCCAATGATCAGGATTGACATCTGTGAGTCCAGATGTGCCCAAGTTTGAATATGAAGTATATTCCTTCTGTTTGACATAGGTATAAAATGTTATAAATAACTAACCTCCTGGTATGGCATTCTACTGTATACTGAAGAAGTTATGACTGATTGTACCTGTGAGATCCTGAGGGGAGAAAATGGAAGTCCCAGTCCTGGAGAAATATTGTTCCATGAAAGATATTTTACAGATACAGAAATAAAGTCTGATTTTCACGTTGAGCTGTTACTAAACTAAATATAAATATCGTTTGTGAGCCGATAGGTCACTTCACCTAAGACCAAAAATGGGACAATACTGACAAATGTGACTGTCAAATATCTCAGCACAAAAACATTCAACGTAATGTTGAATAATAATTACAAGATATTTTGTGCTTTTGACACTAGGAGGATCTTCTCTTGTCCTTTTCAATAGCCTTTTGTATAAATGTAAGTTATAAATTTTGAACACTGCTAGGTTTTTACAGGTGCTGACCAATTCCAGATTTAGAGATAACCTAAGACTGAGGCTTGAAGAATTCTGGAAAGATTTCTACTTTTTTCTCCTCCCTTGAAAAACTACTAACGCATACCAATTCAATCCTGTTTTGGTTGCAGGGTTTCATACTGCTGCACATCACACTGATGAACCTCCACCTTCCAGTGAAAATCAGCTGAGTAACTTCAGAGACCTTCACTACTCCTCCCCTTTTCCAGTCTAATTTTAGCTGTATGTTAAATTCCTAAAATCTAAGTTTTGTTAATCAGGTTAACAGCCTGGTTAATCATGTTCTAAAATGAATAAAAAGTTTATTCTTTCCTTATTTAAGCAAACAGAAAACTCCCATGGACCTCAAAGACCAATTTTAGCTCAAGTGATACACTCATACTTTTTAGGTAGCATTTTTTCATCTTTTAGCTAACATCTATTCAAGCTAACAAATATAGCAAACTTCAATGGAGACCATTTTAAAATACCTTCATTTTGCCTTTTATTCAAGACAAAATATTAATAAATTAAAATACAAACTTTTTCTTCTAAACCCTTCAAAATTCCTAGGTGACATCCCTAAACCAGAACAGATTGAAGCATTTAAATTAAATTAATCATACAAAAGATTGCTATAAATAGGCTGCTACCACCTTAAGGCATGTTTTTTGTACCTGCATGCACGAAATTGGAAGGTACAAATGCAAACACAAGATATTATTCATCAGTGTTCTTTTTAGTGTAAAATGGAAAAATTACTTTATTAATAAAGCATTAGAATGTAATGAGTAGAACACAAACTGCATCTTTCATGCATTTCTTTGACTGTCAGTCAGTTATTACTCACATGATGACTAAAATCAGAAGACTAATTCACATTTTAGAAAAATGATACCTTTGGCAGTATGAAAACAGAAAATTAAAAAAAAACCCTATTGTTTAACTGGTAAACTAGTATATCTGTATATTTGTATTTTATGTCTTTCACTCAGGTACTTTGTCTTTTGTTGTGAGAAAAAATGTGTTTTTGTCTAGACTAGAAGAAAAGATACAAATACCTAACTTTTAAAACTGTAAAAGCGAAAATACTTTTGGAATGGATTCCCTGGATATTAACCCATTCAGATGTACTTTAGGTTTCTCACCACTTGCTTCTAATATATTGCAGGTAAGAATACATGGACATAAACTAATTTCTCAGCTAGTGTGGTCTAAGTTAATCAGTGTGCAAGATCTGGTATCAAAAATAGTTTTGGCTATTGAAAGCAGATGGGGGAATAAAAATCCAAAAGTTTTATATACCATTGAGCTAAACATGAACATTTTATTCAGTCAGTCTGCCATCCAACTTCCATTCTGTTTCCTGATGCTGGCAATAAATTAGTTGTTCGTATCTTGAGGAATTCATCACAAGCTACTTCACTAGTGGGTCAGATAACCTACAATAATGCTTAGAACAGCACAGATATTTCATTTTAAAGCCAAGTCATGAACTGTTGCTTTCTTGGATTGGGTATCTTAACTCTTGTGTTGAAATACATAAAGAGATGGGGAACAAGAGATTATCTTTCTTCCTAAACTAATCCAGCTAAATCTGGTCCTAAATGGTTATGGTGCAAATGATCTTTCAAGATAACGATTTTAAAAGCATTTAAAATTTTATAAGAGGTATGTAAAGCTTTCTTGTTAGCCTAATCCTACTGTTAGTCAATGGCTATGGTGGTGTAGGTGCTGTGTTCATGTGAGGGGCAGAGGTGGGAGCAGGTTTTGAACACTTTCCTTAGTAGGAAGAAGGTGCTGGTGTGTGCTTTTCCAACAGGTTTGCATAAAACCTTTTCAAGGACATGCACATTGGCTGAACCTGCATGAGAGAGTGCAGACAGCTCTGGGGTGCAGCCTCCAACATCATGCTGACTTCATACCTGGAGAAGATTTCACTTTCTAAGAAAATTGAAGTGCATGATGAAGAATTAAACCTCCAAGCATTGGAAGAAGGACTGGAAGACCAGTCCTGGAGGGTGCGTGGTGTAGTTTGCTTCTCCTGTCATGGGGTAATGTCCGTCACGAGCTGAACTCAGTGCTCATCTAAATGAAGAAGCATCCCTTCCTTCTCAGTGCATTTGGCATTAGAAGTCTTCTCATTCTCAAATGTCAGTTAAAGATTATTATTCACTATGTTTGTATCTAGGTCTCCCAACCTTTTCAACTGGCTACCTGCAGAGACAAAGGACATACATCCTGGAGTCTAAGGTGCAGCATTTTATTCTGTGAACTGTGTGTCTCTGGGTAGTAGAAGTTGGTAGAATAAAATAGAATAAATGGAAATCCAAACTTCTTTAAGATAATCTTCCTAAGTGTTGAAAGTGTATAACTCCAATAGTTAAAAATATGAAATAATAAATAAAATAATAAAATCTTGGAAGAATTTTCTTATGCTTTTAAAATATCATTGAATGACAACTTGAAATTATAGAATTTCCTAATGGATAGCTAGAAAAATAGCCTCTACATATTTTGCTAGTTTTGATGAAGAGGTGAAAGTTAGTCTGTTTTTTGGTGTATCAGTGATCTGAAAAAAATATTATTTTCTCCTGTTAATCTTGCTACATTACAGAATTTTTAGCTTTGTCAGATATCTTTGTCAATGGACTTCCAAGACTCTAATCAGCCTTTACCAGGGAAGGGTAAAGGAATTTTTTTCTCCTTCAGATAAAAATATGAGGATCCATAGGACCTCCCATAATTCAGGCAAACTCTTAAAGCTCAGTGGGACAATCTGGCTTCCATTTAAGCAAATAAAATTCACATTGATCTCACAGTAGGAACATGATCAGGTTAATTTATTTACTTAGTGCTTTCTGAGGAAAGGTTAAGAAGGACTTCAAGATTAGACCGTGAGGTTTCAGGCCTACAGCAATTCTGTGAGTCTTTGTTCCCAGGCTAAGCTGAGACTGGAATCTGTCAAAAACTGTAGAAACAATTTAGGAATAAGGGTGGGATAAAAGCATGACAATCTGTGCTTCATGGATTTTGAAGGGTCAGGCAAAATACAGTGTGTTTTTCTGATTCTTCTATGACTTCTTAACCTACTAACTCTTAAGAATTAGAGCTCTAATTTACTTTTTTAAATGAAATTAAAGGATATTTTGATGAATTGCTGCAGTTGAAAGATTTGTCATTACTACTGAAGATTCTTCTTTTAATTAATTTGTTAATGTAAAGGAATAAATAAACCTAGCATGTAAAAACACAGCTGTCACTCATGACCGATATTTCATCACCACCATGGATACCATTGTAGTTAATCATCAGAGAATTTAGTTGCCTGATTTTAAGATGCAGAGACAAATGTAAATATCAAAAGGGACCTAAAATCCTCTTTTTTTATCCTTGAAAAATAGAAAATTTATTTAATCTTTAGCTTCTTTTTCTAGCTCTTTATTTTAATCTATATCCCTTTTGAATGCTCAGTTTCTGTTCATGCTTTCTAAACCCAGAAATCCTTGTGCTACTCCCTAACTCCATCGAGCTTTTACGATTTACCTGCTGTTCCAGGCTATTTTTAGTCATTGTACAGTTAGTCAGTAGTGCCAACACTGTCTTTGCTTCATCTCACAAAATGTTTTAAGAAAACATTTTTGAGGAAAGCCCATATGGTTTGCTATATCACAGCTCCAAAGATCCCAGTCCTATAGTGCTACACTTCCCATCAAGGCCCAGAGGAGCACTATCTCAGCACAGTTTCCTGGCAAGGCAGAACTTAGACTGAATTCTATTTTTATATCTTTTGAGTATGAGATCAACTCTTCTAACACAGAATCACAAGTTTGCGATAGTTTTGTTAGAAGGCAGTATTGAAATGAAAAAATAAAAAGCATCTCAAGAATGATAATTTATATAATCAATAAAGCTTGATATAAAAACAGTTAAATTCACATTTTTACAGGGTGCTTGTGGCTCAGATTCATCTCAGTAGATGAAAACAAAAGTGGTGTAAATGACTAAGCCAGTCATGCTTCTTTGCTTTTAAGGAAAGCGGGAAATTATTATTTCCATAATTACACAACAATCAATTACCTTCAGGATGACACATGTCATTCAACATTTCACTTCAGTGAGACGCCCTTGCTGTGGTTAATGCTGCCTGGAATGTAATATTAATGTGGGCAGCACCACGAGGATTAAGTCTGACATGTGGAAGATTGCAATGGAAGGCTGACAACACTTTGGTGTGCTGAAGAAAGAGACTCAGAATGACAGATTGACAGGACTGTGAAGCTTGTGACATAAAGATCATTACCAATTAAGATGGAGGTGAAGGAAGAACTGGGGTCAAAAGGGCACCTGCCTCGTCCTCTCTCAAATTTGTGCGATTCCAGTTGAAACAGATGATCCTTAAATAAAATAAAATAAAAAAAAAGACAGAGAACACCATAAACCCTACAGGCAAAAAAACACAGTCCTTAGTGGCAAGCTTTAACTTTGTTATACCTTTGTAGAGGATTGACTTCATTAGGGAGAAAACACAATTATGGTTGCTCACTGATGTACTAGTAAAAATTCTCTGGTTTCTACAGATCACCTTTGTTGTGCACTGCCCAAAAAGAATCAGAAAGCTATGCACTAAAATTGCACTTTTTTCATTTCTGTGGGAGTAGGGAGGAAAGATTCCTCTATCTTTTCTCCAAATTATCTAAACATTAAATAGATATCTCACCATGGAATGTGTTTTCCCCCCTTAAATAATTTTTTTTCCCAGTAGTTATTAAATATATCAGACTGTGTTATCTTCTCTTCATAGCTTGGAGATGTTTATATATATTCTTCATAGAAGTATGTTTAGGAATGAATCCCCAGTTACAGTTTTCAGAGCAGATGTGATTTCTTCAGTGGATTTAACAGAATATGGGTATAAAAAATATTGGCAACTTGGTTTAAATTGTCTATATAAGGCTGTAAAGACTGAGAAAGAATTTACAATTTAAATTTTCATTTGCAATGGTACATTTGTCTCAGCTTTCACAGAAAAGCCCATTAATGTCTGATTAAAATATCAAGTGAGAGCACAATATTTTTAATTTAGATATTAACAGAAGAGCATGCCAAAAACATAGAGAAAGGGGAAAATAAAAGGGCAAACAGATAGAAAGCTATGAAAACTTGATTAAAAATATGCCATGCAGCCATCAAGTGTGTGACAAGCAAATATTTTGATAATTTAGTAGTTCCAGTTCTTTGTACAGTTTTACTCAAAAGGCCACTGAAATGCAGATTATATCAACATATTGGATAAATGTAATCTACCTGTTCATTAAACTAAGTCTCAGGTTCATTTTCCTAATATACGAGACAAATATTTTGTGAGGCATAAAGTTACATGCAACAGGAAACCAAATCCCCCAAAATTTTGAGAAATACTTGTCTCAGTCTCTCCCTTACAGAGCACATTATCAAAAATGTCCAAGGGACTTTTTAGTCATAAAAATCAAGTTTTATTAGACTGGACTTTTCACATATTTATTAGACTAACTCAGTATTTGCACAGAAAAAAAATCTTGATAATCTAAAACTTAAATATTCTCAAGCAAGTGCAATTGCCCCAGAAACTAAATGAATATTCTCTTCAGGTGACTTCACGACAGTTATGTTCTCCTGCAAAAAAGCCCCAGCCTAAAAAGAAGAGGACCAAAGAAGCAGGAGGTGGAAAAATGAAAGATAAAAATAATAATAATAATTATAATAATAATAATAATAATAGTAAAAGATATAAGGAAAGTGAAAAGTTGTAGAGCTCTTAGTTCCCCCTGATTGACAAATAATTGAATCTTTATGTGCATTTAATTTAAAACAGTCAATATTAAATTTGTCATAAGCCCCTTGACTTCAAAGGATTAGTCACATCTTAATCCCCAGATCAGACAAGCTGATGTACCTGTCTTCCATTCTCAACTGTCTAAATCATACATGTAACTTTGCTGCAACTTCTGGTCAAAAAGAAACATTCCCAGTAGTTAGAGAGCTTATACAAAAAATACAAGCTTATACAATATAATAGAATAATAAAATAAAATAAAATAAAATAAAACAAAATAAAATAAAATAAAGCAAAAGCCATATACATTTTAGGTTATGGACGTAAATCTCATGAGGTAACAAAGCACTTATAATCTCACCTGTCCAGAAGCTTCTTTGTTGGCCTAACTCTGGTACATTAGTGCCTGGTTGTTAAAGCTGATATAGCAGAAAATAACTGTCTTGGGTAGAGACTGATGTTGCAGGAATATTGTTTTATGCTGTATCAGCAACAATTTCACATCAGTAGTAACTATTCCCCCTCTGCTGTTGGGCAAATGTCAAACAATGAAGAAATATTTCCCTGTGTGTGGAAATCTCAGTCCCATTCCATACTTTTCAAACACCACATACCATGTATTTTTCAAGACTAAATACTGTAACATTTTGAGTCAACAATGGATAAAAAAAAAGAGTGAGGTGAACTCAGGAAGGAAAAGAAAAACTTTCTGAAATACTGAAAAAGTACTTGGGAGCCACAATGGCATAAAAATTGTTGTAAAGGAAATATTTCTAAAACCCATCTGAAGTTATGTATTCTCTAGTTGGGTATTCAAAATAAAGTTACTCATTAAATAGTTTCTCCAGGACCTCAACTAAACTATTATTCAGTGAGTTGGTTCAATAAAGATTTAGAAGTGGAGAGACAAACCAAGAGTTAAAAATTGATACATTATTCTTCTCTTCCTGGTGTATAGTTTGTGGCTCTCATTCAGTCCTACGTAGGGAATAGAAACTGAAAGCTGCCTTGCTGTTGGAGGAGACATGATTCCACCAGATCATCATAAAACACACTTCATATTTTGGTCTTCCCCTGATAAAATGCCACTGGTCCTCGCAGCAGGGAGATGTGGCCAGTGGTGGAGTCTCCTGGATGATGTGGAAGAACTTTTCATCACTGTGCACAAAATAGTACCAGCACAATGAAAAAGTTACTAATGTAGTTAATAATTTCCCTGAGAACCAGAATTAAATCAATGGTTAAGACAAACCCATCTCTTTTAACATTCATAACATGAATGTGTTTAGAACAGCTAACTATATGACTGTGGAATAAAAATGCTAAACAATATACATAATATTCTTTCATTGTCTGGAATTTATGAATAAGGATTGTAGCCTAAATACATAATCTAGTGTTAACACTGGTGGTAGACAAAAAAATTGGATTTCAGTGCAATTTGGTGGAATTTTTAAGAGGAGATCACTAGTTTTGATATAAAGCAGGATGTGTGTCTCATAAATGCTTGCAGACGTAGGTAACTGTCTGAAAAGTTGCTGAAAATGTAAGCAATGACTCCTTCAAGAAAGATTTTCCACCTTCAGCTTTTAGGACAGCATGCCAAATATTCCATGGTTGCAATAAGTTATTCCTATCACGGGGGCAAGTAACTGAAGTTCAGGTGTAAGATGTGTCAGCTTCCATGGGATCCCAGTTTAAATGAAATAAGCGTTGCACATTAATAATCAGCTTTGAAGGCTAATTCCATAATTCTAACCCTCCTTGCAGTTTTTGACATTGAAATCCCCTGAGAAGCATCAGAGTAAAACTGACAGTTTCCTCACAGATTATACAGCCCATCAATTCAACATCACAATTTATTTTATGGGCATTTTTCAATGGTTAGGGTAAAAACTATGCAAAAGCACATATGGAGGGCTGGGAGTGGAATTACATGTTTCTACATGCAGCTTGGGAAAAGAAATGGGCTTCTGGGTTTGATTTATGATACCAGTGACTCAGGAAACATAATACGCTTTCAACTAATATTAAAATAATAATGTTATTTCAAAGAAATAGAAGATATTTTCAAAGCATCTAACATTTTGCTACTAACTTGATATGAATTGATAATTTTAGACAATGAAGGCTAGAATAATGTAGGCTATCACAATGGTGAAAGAAAAGGTCAATCAGAGGCATTAAAATTTAAAGACTGAATTTAACTTTTGTTGCAGAAAATTGCTTTCACTAATGCCAAGTGCTGCTTTGCTCCAGGTCAAGGCAACACTTATGCATGTGATTAATTTAAAACACATGCTTACTTCCATTCCTGTTCAGCAAAGTACCTAAGCCTATTCTGAACATTAATACAATAGTATCTTTTCACTAAACCAGGGACTTAAAGATACAGAAGTTTTAGTTGTGTTTTCCTAGGATATTATTTTTATGAGAGAAAAATAATTTGATTTTCTGTGAGAATTTGTGGTGTTTTGGTTATTTCACTTTAAATTTTATTATTTTCCATGCAATAAAAAAGTAAACCATATCATACTGGCATTTTTAAAGGAGAATGAAACCATTTCATAATCTTTCGTGACACTCTAAACTGTGTATGCATTTGTTACAACAGTATTGACATGGTCTTCTCTCAAGGAGGCCTGTGCATTTTTGTGATTGGCATGACACTAAACTGTGTATGCATTTGTTACAACAGTATTGACATGGTCTGCTCTCAAGGAGGCCTGTGCATTTTTTTCCCCCCTAACAAGTCCATATTTTTTACCTTGCTGGATATTAAATCATATTAGAGTACAGTAGGGAAAGCCTGTGAAGATTTTTTTTAAGAATATTTTTAAACACTGGCTATACTATTCACTACTGCTCTAAAGCACTGGTCAAAATTCTTTCTCAGCTTTAATGATCTCCTAGTTCTTCAGTTTAGAGTGAGAATGACATTACATGCAAAAGCTGTTTGTTACTATCCATTTCTAGCTGTCTTTTTTTGAAGACAACTAGAAAAAGGAGGTTCATATGCAAAGTGAACCGACAGGGAAAGAATAAAAATAGAGAAAATAGAGATTCTCTCCTTGTGCAAAGCTATGAGAAACATTCTCTTAAAATTGTCAATAAAGCCACATGGGGCTAGTGTCATATATGTTGCACTCTTTTTTATATTCAAGCAATTCTTAAAACATCAAAAATGGGAGTGTACATTGCACTTCAGCTTTTGTCATGATCAAAAAATTTCTATGCATTCACCCAGTATTCAATCACCCACATAAGAAAAAAAATCCAGTTACACCAGTGAAATGCTTTACAAACCTCATCTTGATTTCCATTCTCTTTCACACTATAATGGTTTCAGTATCAATTCACATATAAATTTACTTTCTTTGCAAATATTCTTTTGTTTTGTATAGTCTGAAAATAGTATTTTTCACATCTTTTCTCTTTCTTTTATACTTATCCTTACATTTTTATTTCAACATAGACAGACACACTGAATACACAGTACAGAGGCTTCTTTTAGGAAGGATGAACCTTGACTTCCCCATTACAAAAAAAAAAATAAAAAGCTGAAAGATCACAGAACAAGTC